TGGGATTGTTTGATGTTTTTTGCATGTTTAGACTGAGGTTACCTTGGGGTTGAGGGAAGCGGGCCACAGAGGTAAGGCACCATTTTCATCATGTCGTGTCAAGGGCACATGCTATCAACAGGACTTTAAGTGATGTTTACCTTGGTCACCTGGTTGATGCAATGTTTGTCAGGTTTCTCCACTGGGAAGTTACTCCCTTTCCCCTTTCTATATCGTGTTCTTTGGAAGGAATCACCATGTGCAGCCCACACTTAAGGAGTAGGGAGTTGAAGGTGGAGAATCTCCGTAAATTATTTGGAATTCTTCTGCATGGGAGATTTATATTTAATTTTTAAGAAACGGACAAGGGCCGACCGTGTGGCTCATTCAGGAGAGTGTGGCGCTGGGAGCGCTGAGTCCGCAGGTTCGGATCCTACATAGGGATGGCCAGTGCGCTCACTGGCTGAGTGCAGTGTGGGTGACACCATGCCAAGGGTTGTGATCCCCTTACCGGTCACAAAAAAGAAAAAAAAAAAAAACGAAACGGACAAGCAATATTCTACAGAGGTTGCACCATTTAATACTTGCACAAGCAATGTTGGAGAGTCCAAGTGCTTCTTATCCTTACCAACACTTGGTGTCGTCCATCTTTTAAATTTTAACCATTCTTGTTGGTGCAAAGTGGTATCTCATTGTGATTTTTTTTCTTTTTTATAACTTTATTTTGTCAATATACAATGTGGTTGATTATTGTGGCCCGTTACCGAAACCTCCCTCCCTCCTCCTTCTCCCCCCTCCCTCCCAACAACCTCATATCTGTTCACTTGTCATATCAACTTCAAGGAATTGTAATTGTTCTGTCTTCTTCCCTCCCCCCACTGGTTTTTTTGTGTATTTATTTATTTTTAGCTCCCACCAGTAAGTGAGAACATGTGATATTTCTCTTTCCGAGCCTGACTTGTTTCACTTAATATAATTCTCTCTAGGTCCATCCATGTTGTTGCAAATGGCAGTATTTCATTCTTTTTTATAGC